TCTTCACAATAAAGGAAAATCTAAAACAAGGATACAATCATTAAGTTTGGAAAAGACCAGTGGGATCATCTAGCCCAACCATAAAGCAGGTTTACCATCCAGTATGCAAGCAGTACCTGAGTATGTAGCACGCATGAGTAGATTCAAGCCTTAACAATTCATGGGCTGTTTTCATTTCAGTAAAACAAAAACTTGCAGATTTTAAACTCCTAACCATTGAGAAAGACACCCATAAAAAGCAGTATTAATAAAAAAATGACAGGCTTCCAGGCCTCTAGAATATCCTAAGCATAAGATACAATAAAAGATATCCAATGTTCACATCGCAGTCTTGCTGCCTTGCACACTGTCACAGGAAGTAAATAAACACAGGACATTCCAGTGTACTATTAAAAAGACACCAGTAAGTGCTCCAGTTTTCTGTACCATACAACTTTATTTCAAATTCACATATTTCTAGGCAATGTATCCAAAAATATTTGACTCAAGAGTACCTTTAGATTGTAGATATCCTGGAACAGGGCATCAAGCCTTTCCTATCTCCAAACAAAACATAAGTTTCAGCTCATGTTATAAAAAGTAACCGTGTGGAATGTGACAAGTCATAATGTGAAATCAAAGTGCTTTAGTCCTGCAGAGCAAACAGACACTAGTGGTTATCCAGCCATTTGTCAATATATCTCTAACACCAACAGTACCAATTTTTTAGGGTTTGGACTTGCTGCGACAGCACTCCACCTTGAGAAAGGCTTTGGACCATTATCATGAAGTCTCGTGAGCTAACAGTCAGTTACACCATATGAGTTGGCAAAAGCTTTCACTTAGATACTTCAAACAGTGAGTGAGAATGATGCATAAGGGAACATTTTCCAAGTTCCCTTAGTAATTACCAAGTTCTACTGTATTACACAAGATAAAATGATGTTCCAGTTAGTCTTTTAAAACCCAAACTATGCTGTATTCCAAATCCCAAAGCATCAAAGCTCACAAATAATTTCCTCAAACCCCAACAGCTAAGACTCAATATGTTTGTGCAATTATTTGCTATTCACATGTGAAAAGAAAAACACTTCACTCAACAGATCCTCTGAAGAAATGGTAAGCAGAAAGTTACTTTAATTAGACTGGGAAGTAGATAGTTGCTTGGAACATACTCAATTCAGAACTGCCATGTTGTAGAAAGTTCATGTTGCAAATGTCCAATTGGAGACCTTTTTGCAGAAGCCTAAAAAGCTATTTACCTTCCGTAATGAAGGGAGTTTAGGACTTCAGCATTTAATTCTCTCCTCTGGTGCAAACGAACTTTGCAGAATTATGTGTATGATTTTTTTCAGACACTCAATTGTTGCGTGAGCCTAAAAAGGAAAGGCTGAAGAAAAATTCCTGGTCCTGTTCAGATGTAAAGACAAAGTGCTATGCAAAACTGATTATATCCACTGTATTTGTAGCAACCAACCCAAAAAGAAGGCACATGAAATCTATATTATAGCGATAAATTATAAATTAAAGCAGAACCTCTGTATAATTTCTAGCCTTTCTGCATGAAATTAATGACCAGCACCTATACAGAGTTTCAGTTATTTTTAATGTAACTACTCCCAGAAATACTTAAATGTCTCCTGCTTGCTTATGCAAACACTGACTTTCATTAGGTTTTGACACAAAGTGCAGATACTGGTAATTTATCTGCATGGGAAGTCTGAAACAGATAAATCGCTGCCACTCCCTTCCTCTGTCACTAAAAGCGTAAGCCACCAGCAACAGCCACAGGCAGCTGTTACCTTGAAAGTGCACCACTCCCAGCAGCAGTTCCCCCATGAAGTGTTCTAGCAGCTATGGAACATACTTCATCAGTGTCTCAGATTTGGAATTTACTGTGTTGAAGTCTAAGCACTTTCTGTTAAAGCTACCTGATGGGCAGGCACATACATTCCGAGGAAGCCAACTTGAAACACACTCTGACAAACGTTGCATTGAGACTGGCAGTACCTTAATATCTAAGCACAGCTGAACTTCCACCTTGAGCAGCATTCAGGATCCAGGGACAGCTCATTCTCAATGAGAGCCTCCTAGATTTCACCGGAATTGCTACCACTAAAGGAGAGAAACAAGATTCAAGGTCTCAGAAAGCTTTAGCAGACAGATAGCATGTTCAAAGCCTTGGTTATTATTTCTCCGGAAATACAAGTTTAAAAGAACTCAAACACCATTGCCATCACTCATCACACTGCTTTTACGGAGAGGAACGGAACTTCAGAGCTCTGGTTATTCACTTTGTACCTCCCCTGCTCCTTTTCTCTTCCTCCTATTCACAAAGTAAGTTGAAGGGATTGGCACCTGAGTTTTTAGCAAACACAGATCTGTACCTTCTACATTATAGGACCACGTGAAAATTGCATGCAATGGTGTCTGTGCTCTTTTCTAGAGCAGAGTGACTTTCACAAGTAACACATTCAACACAATTTTCTGTTTTTGAATGCAGTGAGTTACACAAACAACAGTAACAAGACTTGACCAGACTTAATAAACAGAACTGTACTAGGTCTGGCACTTGAGAATTCACAGTGATTAACATAAAACTGCTTTGCCTAAGACAAAATAAGATACCAAATATATAAAAAAACTCTTCACTTACACTGTATCAGTATCCCAACAAGCAAGATCAGTAGTACCTCAGACAGCAGAGACTTCAGCACGTGGCTAACTTTGTTCATTGCTTGCAGTGCAATGCTTTTTTCTTATTATTTGCAACATCAAATCTGGCAATTTTCAATGCATAAAGTCAACACAGACTCAAGTCTTTGCTGGACTGAAATTTGGATTCTGACAAGAAACTGTTACATATGATCTCATTTTGGGTACCAACTCCACACCGTGCCAGGTGGTATTGCTGTTAACAAGAAACTTAAAATACACCTGCATATTACTGAGGTGGTGCTCTTACATAGCAAGTTATGAGCAATTTATAGTACGGGTTGATAATACAAGAGTAGAACATCTGCATTTTCCTTTCCCTCGCTCAACTCGCTAATCCTAGGAGGTTTATGAACACGTTTCTGACCCAGAAGCATCGCAGTGTTTCTCAGCTCACCCACTGCCCCTTGTCCCAGCAAGGGCCCAGCCAAGGCACCACCTCTTCGGCAGCTGCCAGAAACCCAACTGCAGATTCCAGCAAGGCTCTGGGACCCACCTCCCCCAAGAACACGAGTTCAGACGAGCGCCTGCTTTGACCTACAACCTGGGGCACTCTGGTCCAGGCACCCACCTCCCCCTTGACCCTACCCAAAGATGTTGGACTTTGGCCTGAGCTTGAACGATGTCTTCAGGGATTTCTCCTCGTGCTCGTCCTCTTCAGTGTCACCACGAAAGGAGGGCGTGTTGTGGATGATCTGAGTCCTGAAGCGGATCTTATTAAGCCGAGGCTTCATCCGCCCGCTGCCTGAGGCTTTCCTGGCCATCTCCTTGCCCTTGCCTGGCACCGCTGCCCCATCGGCACCCTCGTTTTCCTCCCCAGCGCTGTGATGGTGGTGATGGTGGTGGGAAAGGCGGTAGCTCATGAGGTTGGAGGGCAACACCTTGGAGAGCCTCCAGCGCACGCTCCCGTTGCTGGTGGCCCCTTCCTCTTCTTCCTCTTCCTCATCCAGGGCTCCCACCAGGCTCCGCATGTCCCCCGAGGTGCCCTGGTGCAGATACTGGGCAGCCTTACGCCCGCTGTAGTCGCGGATGTCCACATCGGCATCGTAGGCGCCCACCAGCAGCTTCACCACCTCGGTGTGGCCGTGCATGGCGGCGATGTGCAGCGCCGTGTGCCCGCCGCTGGTGCGCGCATTGATGTCCACAGGCAGCTGGTGCCGCTGGGCAAAGTTGACCAGGGTGGCCAGCAGCTCCTGCCGCCCATGCTTGGCGGCCCAATGCAGCGCCGTGAAGCCGGTGATGAAGTCCTTCTTACAGAACAGCGCCGGCTCGCAGCTCAGCAGCCCCTCAAGCGTCTCCCACCGCCCGTCCGAAGCCGACAGCATCCAAGCGTGCTCCAGCGGGTCCAAAGCCACCGAGCCCGTCGTGCTGCCCTCCTCCTCGGCGGAGGACGAGGCCACCGAGGCGCTGTCCGAGTCGCCACCACCGCTGCGTCCGCGACCCCCTCCGGGCGGGACGCCGCGCTTAAGCTGCGGCGAGCCGCCCCGCGCCGTCTCCCTCAGGCTCCTGCGGCCGCCCGCCGCCCCGCCGGACCCCTCCGCTGCCTCCTCCGCCGTTACTGCCGCCTCCTCGCCGCCGCCGCCGCGGCCGGGCGCCGGTCCTCGCCGGGAGCCCTTCCGCTGCCCTCCGCCCGCCGCCGGGTTCGACAGGGGCGCCTCACCCCGCCGCCCCTCGGGCTCCGCACGGCCGCCGGCATCTCCGCGCGCCGCTGCCTCCCGCTCAGCGCCCGCCCGCAGGGAGGGCGGTGGGCTCGGCCGCTCCGCGCTGCCCTCCGCCGCCGCCTCGGGGCTCACGGCGCCGGCGGCTCCCGGGGCGCAGTACCGGCGCCGGAGGCACACGTACTTGGCGCCGGTGTCGGGCTCCTGGCGCACGGTGGCCACGGCGTTGACCAGTTCCTTGAAGCGCTGCCGGGCGGCGGCGCGGCGCTCGGGCTCCGGGGGGCTGAGCCAGCCCCGGAAATGCTCCCGCAGCTCCTCGTGGCGCGCCCGCCCGCCCCGCTCCGCCAGGAACCGCACCACCGTCTCCTGGCCCAGCTCGGCTGGCTCCGCCATCACCGCCGCTTCCCCATCGCTCTGCCGCTGACTGCCGCCCAGGGTGCGGCGCGGCCGCCGTTGCCGCCCGGGCCCCTCCTCCGGGCGGCGCGGCCGATTCAGAGCCGCGGCGCCGGCGCGCCCTCCTCCGGCCGGGAGGGGCCGGGGCGGCTCAGCGAGGCGGCCCCGCGTCCGACCGCCTTCCCCAACGCCCGCTGGGTGCGCGCTGCCCCCGCGCCCGCCCCTCCGCCGAACGACTCCTCCCGGTCCCCGCTGGGGCTGCGGAGGATGGGAGGGTTGTGTCGCGGCGCTCCGTCTCGTCTCGCCGCTCTCCGTCCCTCCCGGGGCCATGGCCGGCGCGGGGCAGCCGGTAAGTCTAGCCGCGGGGAGCAGAGGGGGCTGCCAGCGCCTGCCCGCTGCGACGGGAGAGGGAACGGGACAACGCGGGGCAACGGCCTCCAGGGGAGGAACGGTACGGTACGGTACGATTGGCAACCGACTGGAGCTCTCGTAGTTGGGCAGCCGAAGCTGCCAGGGGTTACAGATGTTGTGGAAGGTCTCAGAGGGTGCTGTGAGTTTCCAGAAATACGCTGCATCCTGGATATTAGAGAAATGCTACTCTGTGTATGAGGGCAAAGCGATGGGTTCCTAGGCTTCGGGTGCACAGTACCGTCAGTGTGTTAACACTGGAATTTAGAGTATGAGTGTGAAATGGAGTCCTCTGCTGTGTTTCGCACCTTAGCAATGCGAAGCATGCATGTAAGGCAGAGTGAGAGGAGGTTATTTTGTTTGTTTGTTTTTTAGGGAGAATTCCTCCGCCCTGGCTGCACAGCCAGTAATCTGCATTTTATGCCGGTAGGCAAAGTACCTGGTTGGGTGGCTCCAGGCTTTGTCCCACTTCGGTGTTATGCAGTGTGGCTGTATGGGAGGCTGCCCTGGGAGAAGGGCTGAGGGAGCTGGGATCATTCAGCCTAGAGAAGAGGAAGCTCAGGGGAGACCTTATTGCTCCATGCAATGACCTGAAAGGAGGCTGTGGTGAGGTGGGAGTCAGCGACTTCTCCCAGGTAACAGCAATAGGACTTGAGGGAATGGCCCCAAGTTGCGCCAAGAGAGGTTCAGGTTGGACGTTAGGAAACATTTCTTCTCAGAAAATGTGATAAGGCACTGGCACGGATTGCCCAGGGAGGCTTGGGAGTCACTGTCCCTGGAAGTGTTGAAGTAATGTGGAAATGTAGCACTGAGGGACATGTTTACTGGGCATGGTGGGGATAGGCTGATGATTGGACATGATGATCTTAGTTGTCTTTTCCAATCTTAATGGTTCTATGATTCTATGAATGGAGGACAGCCACTGTACTTTGGGAGTCTCATAAAATCACAGAGAGATCTCTGAGATCACCAGGTCCAACCATCACCTAACAGTATGAGTCCCACCACTAAGCCTTCTTCCTTAGTGCTGCGTCAACACACCTCTTAAATACTTCAGGAATGAGGATCCCACTTTTTCCCCAGGTGGCTTGTTTCAATGCTTGACCATCCTCTCCATGAAGAAATTGTCACTGATATTCAGTCTAAACCACACCTGGGACGTGATTCCTTGCATCCTGTCAGGGGGATGCAGATGTCAGGGGGAAATTCTTTACAGAGAGAGTGGTGAGGTGCTGGAACAGGCTGCCCACAGAGGTTGTGGATGCCCCGTCCCTGGAGGTGTTCAAGGCCAGATTGGATGGGGCCCTGGGCAGCCTGGTCTAGTGTTAAATGGGGAGGTTGGTGGCCCTGCATGTGGCAGGGGGGCTGGAGATTCATGGTCCTTGAGGTCCCTTCCAACCCGGGCCATTCTGTGATTCTGTCACTTGTCACATGAGGCAAGATACTGACACCTCCTTGCTGCAGCTGGAGTTACTCTCCTCTGGGCCATTTTGTGGGAGGCTGGTAAGATACTGAAAGGAGAAAAACCTAAGAGCTGAAGTTTAAGAAGCACTACAAAAAGATTGAGGTTGAAGAGAAGTAGTAAAGCAGCAACAGAGACTGGGAGTGGGACTGGAGGGCCCACTAGGTCTGGGAAGAAAAGAGAGGAGCACGGAGGTGGAAGGCTTCACAGAAGAGAGACCTAAAAGCAGAAGGATGAGATTGGTTTGTCATGGGGAACAGTGCTTTACCCTTGGGTTTTCAAGTAACAAAGTGACATCAAATAAGATTTCCTAGCTTGGCACATGCTGTGCAATCATTGAAGTGTTTCTGAGTATGTTGTGGGAAGGGTTTTGTTCTCAGTCCTTTCATAGAAGGAATGCAAAATCTCTCAGAGTGCAGTCTGACCTTACCACACAATCAGGCTGCACACAGTCTTGAGATACATGCATTCAATGCTTCCAAGTTTTGAAATTTTGACTTCTGGGAAAGTTCTGGCAGCTCCTGTAGCTGTAGAACAGCGCACAATGCTCAGCATTGACTAATTAAAGGGGAGAAGAAGAAAGTGATCCACGTTGCAGTCAGACACCCGCTGCCAGCTGCTGCCCCTCGCACCCAGGGCTTTGCTCTTGGTGTGGACATGAAGGGCCACGGACTGCTGCTGACTGCTGCTGTCCAGGAAACACAGTGCCTCAGGGGCTCGCAGCCAGCTCAGGGCACGTCTACTGAAGCAAAGTGGTGGCTGCGTCAGTGCCGATTATTTTCTCTTATCACAGGCATCTCAGTGCGCTGCAGCAGATTTCAGCTCCTTACTTTGTTTTCCTCATTACCTGCAGTGCAGGAGGTGCAGGTACAAAGCGTGCCACATTCTCAGGTTACTTAAATACCTGCTGTGAAAGAGAGGCCTTCGTGACATTTGCAAGTCCCTGTGAAATCACCTCCCCACAACTGGAAAATGAGCAAGATGCTTCTGCTTTTTTGCTTCTTTTCTGCTAATTATCATCAAATAGAATCCAGCAGTTCTCTGCAGCAGCAGCACAGCGAGCTGCATGCCCTCAGCTGACAGCAGTGTGCTTCTTGCTTTGCCCATGTATATATCAAGGAAGTTTGAGGTGCTCAGTGGTTGAAGGCAGTTGGCTGCCTCGTGTGTTGAAGTGGACTAGAAAAAAGAAATTGTAGGTACTGCAGAATGCTGTGTAAAGGGTCATTTGCAAGAGCTGTAAGAATTCTGAGCTCAAGATCCTTTGGATCAGTCTCCTGAAAGCTGGCTGCTGGTTTCTGACATGGTGAGTAAATCACTTGTTCACTCTTTGTAAAATTTCTCAAATGACTTTACTTTGAATCACCCTTTGGCCAATAAGTTCCTATGCAGTGGTTTTTGGCATATTTTGCTTCATATTTGACTCCTTGTATTTCTTTTCATTTTACAGAGTAGGCTGATGTATTAATCCCTTGTAATTTTTTGCATATTTCTTTTCTTACTCTGTATCTTCATGGACTTTTTTTTGTATTTTTGTTTTCCTACCTTACTCCCCTGTTGCCTTTCTTCTGTGTTACTTTGCCAAGATTCCCTTTCTGTTCCCTCTGCTCATCCCACCTGCTCTGTTTCTCCTTCATGCATGTATCTGAATAGAGATTCACCAGCGGTATGCATGGCTGCATCTTCATTTTACAGTTTGACCACCCAAAAATGGAAAATAATTTTCAGAGTAGAAAAATAGAATGTCTGTTTTGAGGCACTAGCAATGTTAATATTTATTGGATTAAATTTAATGGCATTAGAGAGGTAATTGATTGTACCATAGTGTCACTTGGTATTGGGGAATTAAAATTAATTTTTTGGTTTAATGAATACCCTCAGCTGTTTGCTGTTGTGAGAGACTTGGGACTCTGAATGAGTCACGTTTGCAGAGCCTGCAGGCCAGCAGACTGCTGAGGTAATGGTTTGCTTGGACTGCAAGTCTGGTTCTGCAGGAGGCTTATCTGGGATACCTGTGTAAGTCCAAGATGCAGCCTTTGATGTGGGATGGCCCAGTGTTGTGCAATTTTAGTCTGAAATACATGGCAGGGTTAAAATAGAACTTCGTTTCTGAAAGAAAAAAAATACTACTTTTGTCTCAGACAATAATTTTTATTTGCACACTGCTTCTAATGGGCTAGACCACTTTCTGTAAACCAGTGTACTCGGGGTACTGCTTTTGCTGGTTCTGTGAATGTTACGCTACCAACCTTTTAAAAAACAAATTGTAGGGGAGGAGCAAGATGTGATTTGAACCACCGCAACCTGCCTAAATTGTTTGCTATTTTGATGAGACTATTCATTCTAAGAAAGAAATGAGAAACAGGAAGAATTTACTGGAGTACTCCAGCCCTAGTAGCATTTGGCCTGCAGGCCTTGAATACTTCACTGAATAAAGTTGGGTGGTGAGCTGTCTTCAAACATGATTTAGCTGCTCCAGGCAGCTGAAGCCGATTCAAAAGGACTAACTAGTACAGCAACTTAACTGCTTTTGCGTGATTTATGTTTGGTAATGCGTTAGTTGTCACTGTTTTCCTAAACAGTTGAAACAGAAACAACTTGTTTTTCAACCAAATGACATACTCTTTCTTAGAAAAGTAGTAAGAGTGCAGATATTTCATAATCAGGCTTGTGAATTTAATGTCTCTGATATTAGATTAGATAGTAACACAGTGAGGCTGCATGGGGTGCTGGAGGAAACAAACGGAATATTAAGGTTGGAAAAGACCACTAAGGTTGTCTAGTCATGATGTGCTTGGAAAATTTTGGAAGGGAAAATGTAGCTTATTACTCTCTATATGAATGTTCCCACGTTTGTCAGACTTAACAGATTTACAAAGGTATTTATTATAAGAGCATGGATGGTTGCAAGTCTCCAGATCAGGACAGTAGGACTCAATGTTATGATGTTTTTCATGTGGAAAACAGAAGTACAACGTGCAAGGATATATTCTTCTAAATCAGCATGGCTGAGTCTTCAGTTGAAATTGAACAACACCATGTTTCTTGGAAGTTTAACAGCTAAAAGCTTTTACTACAGTGTTATTGGTTCTTGAAGAGTCAGTTGAGTTTTAGGACGGCTGTCTGAACAGCTTAGTAGTGGTTTAAATCCCTGAAATAGTATGCAGACTTAGAGATAGACCCTGAAGTTTCCAGCTTTTCATCACCCTCAACTATTAATGTAATTCTTTTCACATGTGCAATACCAAAAGTCTCCTCCTCTATGTTCAAGGCAACTCTGACCATTTTCTTGGAAAGATGTAAATAGACCCTGAGTCATTTTGTTCTGATCATCCTTCAGTCTGTCAGTTTTCTCTTTAAAATGAGAACAATAGGGCAAGACATTAAAACCTGTTCTCATGACTGATATAACAAATACTCTTTGTGCTTGAAATTCCAGCTGTTACGTACTTTGTGGCCATGCACGTTCTCACTGTCGGGTCATGCAGAGCTGGTGAGATGTGAGGTTTGGGGCGGAGGCGGTGGTTGGTGGTTAGCTTGTTGGTTTACCAAGTCATTAGCTCTGGCACAAAGAACTGAGAAGAGCAACCTTGTGACTAAGGTTCTAAATTACATGTAGGGGAAATACGATTCACGTTCTAGTAGCCTTTTCTTTTATGATGCATTTACAGCTTACCAGAGCGTTTCTGGTGTCAAGCTTTTGTGTGAAATGACACAGCACTTGCAGTGGACTTCTGTGTATTTACATTTCCAGAAAAACAGTTCTCGTTTTCACTTGTAACTGTGATATCATTAAATTAACTTCTGTGTACTGAAGAAAGATGAAATACGCTATTTTAAAATAGCAAACTTCAAATGATTGTCTTGACAACTGCATACATGTTTGTTGCAGACATATCTCTTTCCTGACTGAAGCACACACATATCCGTAAGTAGAGTTCTCTGGGAGAAACTCAGAAACACAAAGAAATGATGAATTTTTAAAGAGTGATGCGGCCATACTGTCGAGCTGTAAACACAGCCATAGCTTTCTAAGCTAAGCACAGAGAAGGTGCCTTGTTTTGCACATTTATGATTTCCCATTTTCCCTGTTTCACAGAAATTTTATCAGTTTTTGTGATAAACAACTAATGTAACAGTGGTAGAAGAGATTGTTTTTAATTTCTGTTCCCAGAAAACAATACACTTTCGTGCTGAATTGTTCGGTTGTGATTAATCACTTTCTTCCTTCCGAAAATGGAAGTTCCGGAGTTACAGGCTGTGAGGACTCCTGCTGCTTTCCCATGTGCTGTGGGCACAGCTGTAATATGAGGTTTCTCACTCATGCCTTGCTAAGCAGATTTAATCCTGTTGTAGTGCCTCCTGGGTGATGCAGTATTTGTTTCTAGTGACTTCTGGAAATGGCCAACCAGCTTGTGGCTTTTGTTGGGTTTGGTCACAGAAATTAAAGTGGACTTCAATCAAAAAACCCTACAAAGGTGGGGAAGGGTCTGTAAGGCAAGGCGTGTGGAGAGCAGCTGAGGTCCCTCGTTGTGCTCAGCGCAGAGCAGAGGAGCTGAGGGGAGGCCTGATGGCGGTGCAGCTCCTCACAGGGAGCGGAGGGGCAGCGCTGAGCTCTGCTCTGTGTGACAGCGACAGGGCTGAGGGAACGGCATGGAGCTGTCAGGGGAGGGCAGCTGGGGGTCGGGGAAAGGGGCTGCAGCACAGCGCGGTGGGCATGGAGCGGGATGCACAGGGCAGTGGTTTCTCCTCGTTGCATTAGTCTAAGCAGAGATGCCTGAGTACATCGGTCTAAATTGACAGCGAGCGCAGTCTGTAGTCCCACACAAGAAATCCTGAACAAAACCAGAGGAGGGGAACCATCTGCTGTAAGCCATGTCTGCATCCTTTTAGCTGCAAGCAGTCTGACACTTGCTGTATAGCATACCTGCTATAAAAGGTGGCACTCCTTTGTGCTTGGGACTATTAAATGAAGGTATTTCCACAGTTGGCTATAGACACATTCCCAGGAGCCACTAAGGGCAAGTGGATTGCAAAGAGAAGAGGCAGAATAGCATGGACTTGTTGCTGTTTATACTTTTGATATGGAATGCTTTGAAACAGAACTGTATAAACTGATAATCTTATGTTTCGTTTTTTGGGGTTTTTTTGTATGCTCATTGCCTTGGTGTTGTGATGCAGGATTGCAGGATTCTGGATATTAAAAGCACAGTGTGCTCCTATAGACATTTCTAGTAGTATATATTATCTAGAGCTCTGATGTGTAAGTAATGAAATAGTTACTTATATAAAATAAAGTAATACAATTCCAGCTACTCAGAATGTATTCTGATTGCTAATACATACCTTCCTCTGATTATGTCCCTATTTTGAAATCTGTCTCAGAAGTTGTTTTTAATAGTCTTTTCTTCATTTCTTAGAGCAAATCAAATGTGATTTGATATTTTTTCTGTGTTTTTTAGTTTACATTTTTAGTTGGACTTGTCCATTTCATTTCTGTTCCCCCATGCCCCTTTCCTCCCCCATCCCCCTCCTCCCCCCCCCCCAAAAAAAAAGGGTCTTTACTTCGACACTGCAAATAGCTGTGCAGAGTAAATCTGAGTATTTTCTGAAGTTATAGTGTAAAGCTGAGCTGAAAGATTCTTTTTTCTCCTGGACTGTTGCTTTCCTGAGTTCCTTGTAAATTCTAAGGAATGAATTCTGGCTTACCAACAGAGTTCCTTTCTTGCCATTGCGAATTGCTTTGCAACTCGCTTTGATAACATACTTTTTTTTTTTTTTTTTTTTTTTTATTTTTTTTTATTGCAGAATGATGGCCTTCGATCCTTACCCTTGTCTGGCCATGTTGGTTTTGATACTTTACCTGATCAGCTGGTTAACAAATCCATCAAGCAGGGCTTTTGCTTCAACATTCTTTGTATCGGTAGGTGCTGTTTGGTTGTAAGCTACACCTCTCCTTAGGAATTGACTCGTTAAGCATGAAGTGCAGTTCCACTCTCTCCTCAACTTTGCTCATTTGTATCAATAATTTGGGTTTATATTTAGCATTTTTATAAAGAACAGGAAGACAAGAAATGTTGAAAGTGGGCATCGTGCACTTACGATTTGTAGACAGCTTCTTGGATTCTTTTGAGTGAATGAGGCTATACAGTTTTTACTGCAATAGAGCTTTAGGTCAAAAAGTTCTAAAATCCAAGGCGATAATACAGACATATTTCTGTGCTTCCCAAATAAATGCTTTTTTATAAAAATTGTCTAACCCTGTGGTTTCACAGGTAGTTACTTAGCTTTTGAATCAATGGTAAATTTGCCTGCAGTTCTGCTTATTACTCATTATAGGTAAGTATTAAGTGTCTCCTGTCTATGTGATAAAAATTTAACAGAAGGTATTTAGTGCTCTTTATATTAAAAAAAAAAAAAAAAAAAAAGGAATGCAGCAACTGTTTGGAGAAATTATTTAATATTTTTTGGTGGATTTGTCAGGTTGTTCTGATAGCACTTGGTGTGCTTGGCCGGTATTTTATTTCTCCCCCAACCCTTCTGTTTAACCTTAGGGGAAACTGGATCTGGGAAATCTACCTTAATAAACAGTCTATTTAACATCAGTTTTGATGACTTGGTGTCAACTCATTTTCACCCAAATGTAAGACTTAAAGCTCAGAGATACGAACTCCATGAAAGCAACGTTCGTTTGAAACTAACCGTTGTGAGTACAGTGGGATTTGGTGACCAGATAAACAAAGAAGATAGGTAAGTGTTGCCCTGTTGCTAATGCATGCAGAAGTTCTTCAATTCCAGTTTGATTCTTCTTTGGACTTTGTAGTAAATGTTTTTCTTACATGTCTACTAAATATTTGGTTAACCGTTTTCTCTGTGTACCAAAGCAGGTAGTGTTTTCCTTCTTGTCTAGGAAACTGAGAAATCAGCTAAATCTGCTCCCTTCTTTATAATAAAATCTTTTATAAATACGTGCAAATAAGAAGTGCAGTAGTGCGTAGAGTTTCTTTTGAGCAGGGTGATAAGTTCCATGGGGGACTATTTAAACAACCAAGAAGGTTATGATGTACACTACATTATAGAGAGTAGATCTGTAGGTTGTTGGTTGTAGGTTTTTTTTGTTTTTGTTTTAAATATTGGATTATATTAAGGACTTCAAACAGGAAGGAACATCATGTGGATTCTTGAAGTCCTTTAAGTTGGTCAGCTCAATCAAAAGATACAGAAGTGCAGCATCAGTTTTGTCTCTGCTGTTATGAACTGAAGATTTTAAAATATTGAACTGTATCTCAGCAGATTTTTTTCTTTCATTATAATGAATTCTAGTAGTCCTTCATGCTACATGGGTGCCTAAATTGTGTTAATTATAAATGAAGGTTAGAGAATCACATTAGGATTGTCATGAGATCTCTGTCCTACGATATCATGGGAAAACAGCTAATGCTAGAGACTGGGATGAGTGTGATGTGTATAGATATTAATATAGATACTAGAGATGTTGATATATTGTAAGAAGCTGCCTTTTAACCCTTTATTAATTTTGGATACAACTATTGCTTTTGAACTTTGTTTGCATTTGACTTGGTCTAGTAAATTTTAGTGGCAGCAAAACTGTGAGGTCCTGCTTGGACATCTGGCAACACTTTCTTTTTGAAAGGAGATTATAGTTGTGCTTTAAGCAGGATGAAGCTTGCTTAAACTGTACTGATGTTGCAAATCAGATTTTCATTCTTCTCTCACATTCCTCCCTTCCAATTTTTGTTTATTGTTTAAGAGCTCTCTCATGTACAGTACTTCATCTTCAGAGGATTCTGGAAGTCCTATTTCTTGGTACTGGTAATTGCATGTTCTTTCTTGTATCTAGAAGTTTTGTGTGTCTTTCTCGAATCTAAGTGTTCTGTGGTTGCACAGCTTCATGGCCAAAGTTTATAAAACATCTCTTGAAAAGATCACTAATAAGCAAAAGTAAATTTACGTAGCCTTTTTTTTTTTTCTTTTTCTCCACTTAAAATAGCTACAGAGTATTTTATCTGTTTTAGGTGTACAATTATTTTTGGAGTAGCCTATCAGAAATTAGGATCAGTGCACTTAATTTTCTGCTGTGTCATGCAGCTACGTGAGCACCCTGTTCAATTGTAAAATGAAAATGCACAACAGTACAAGATTAATTTCTTCCTTAGCTTGTTTGGGAATAGCTAATGTCTGGTTATTTCATTTTATTTTATTTCTTACAGCTATCAGCCAATAGTGGATTACATAGATGCACAATTTGAAGCCTATCTCCAAGAAGAACTGAAAATTAAACGTTCTATATTTAACTACCATGATACTCGCATCCACGTATGCCTCTACATCATTTCACCTACAGGCCATTCCCTAAAGACTCTAGATTTGTTAACCATGAAAAGTCTAGACAGAAAGGTAAGACTTTGAAACAGCTCTTAGGACTTGTTCTGTTTTCTGACTCATCTTGCAGCTTATAAGTCTGCTACCAACTCTTCGTTCCAAATCTGTGTGACTGGTTTTAGGAGATTGTGTTTTGTTTGTTTGTTTTTTAACTTCAGAACCACTCAGTTCAACCAAAAGTTTGGAGTTCATCACTTATTTATTCACACATGGGAAGAACACAAACAATCTCTTCACATCTTACTGATTGATTAGGATACCCTCCATGAGTATTGTAATGTTTCTAATGAAGTTTGTAGTTTCTAGTTCACTATCGAGTTTTGAGGCTGCTGGAAAATTGGTGTATAGAAAACTTTGCAGCACTGTAAAGATGTTTGTTATAAACAGCTGAAGAGGTGAGTGCTGTGAGCTCCTCTAGCCTGACTTTTCTATGATGGTCTGTGTTAATGTTTTAAACTACACATATTGATTAATTTTGCAACCATTAAAATAGTTTCTAGTGATTATTTCTTTCTAAATTCTAAATTCTTATGATTCTTCTTAGAATGGGTTTGTGTGAATTGGAAGAAGCTAAATATTTGAGCCATTTTAGGAAATCTTGTTTGATAAAAGAAGAGAGGAGAATTCTTCTATTTTCTGTTATAATGTTAAGAATTTGGAATGCTGCAGTGTTTGGTTTTATTGCCTTTTAGTTTGTGTTTTACTGTCAGCATGTTCTTTTTCCTGTACATGAGGTGTAAGTGTACTTCTTAACATGTGGACACCTTCAAATATACTTAAATATATGTGCCAAATACCAACCAATAATAATTTCAAGTATGAATTTTTTTTTTCATTCTCTATAGCATAATGGAGCAACAGATGCTTTGACGTTAATGTGAGGTGTTACATTACAATTGTAATTTAGAAAAATAGTCTATTTTTTAAGTGTGAGGGAAGAAAGTGATACTTTGCATATCATGGATATGAAGGATGATCAAAGGGCTGAATTTGGTGCTAACACACAACAAAACTGTGTGCATGGATAAAGAAAAACCTTTATCCCAGCGGCTTTTTGTTGTTGTTTTAGTTGAACTACTTTAAACTACTTCTTGAAGTTAAACTTCAGTAAGTCTGCACTGCTGTTTGAAAGAAGCAGGCTCAGCTGCTCCTTCACACTGTGCGTGCTTAAGTGTTTTCCTCAGTCAGTTTCCTGGATGAGGAGACTGATTTAAACTGAAAACTAAAGAATTTTGCCTACTTAGGAAACTGAAAAGTAATCTATCTCCTTGTAGAGCTGTGCAGATTTTAGTTCTACCTGGAAAGGAGCTGCTGCACACAACGGGAGAAGATGAAGACTGCTATTTTAGTTTCAGGCGTTGACTTTTTATGTGGGGTTGAAGTGATTCTGTGTTAATGGCCTATGGAATTCAGAATTCAGCTTTGTGCAGTGAGAGTTGTGATTTGGGAAGGAGCTGAAAGGGGTTAGCTGGTGCCCAAGTGAGCAGCAGGCATAGATGGAAGCACTGCGACTTGGAGCACATCTGGATGTTGTCCAGCTCAATATAGTTCAAGTCTCCTGTGAGTACAGGTCAGTGCATGCTTTCAATTAGTGTTGTTCTTGGATGAAAGTACTGAGATACTAGTTGTCAAGTAAACCTTAGGAGCTGCAAGTAGAAATAGATTGTTTAACAGATGAAAAAGACTATTTCTGTTGCTTATCTAAAGCCACGGTAGTACTGCTTTAACATTTTAATGACAGGTATGATTTAACATCAGTATTGATAACTAGACTCAGTTTGCAGTGATCTTGCTTTTGTTTTGTTACTTGTCCCCACAGCAATGTTTCCTTCCTATTCATTACCAATCTCTCCTAGTTAGATGGGCCTGTAAACCTTTTATGTTGAGAAGGCGGATTGAAGGTTAATTAAAGTCTTAGGATTCTTCCATCCATTTTTAGAGCTGTGCAGTGAAAATCTAGCTCAGTATACCTCAGCTAATTTAGCAGAAGCTTTGGATTTCTACTAGCTGTGTCAGGTTGTTTATACAATCCTAAGTTATATCAGTCATCAAAATAATATATGTAGCATTTTGATTTAACCACATGTATGCTTAGGCTGCACGTGCTACATTGTTAAGGAATATCACCAGTTAATCTTAGAAGTCATACATTAATGTTAGTATGAGGAAACTGGGGAGGGAGGAGCCCTAGAGGCAGGAAGACAAAGTGAACGAGGGTAAGAAACTTCTAGCTTAAAGAATAAAGTGGTTTGTTTTAATGATAGTGATTTTGAGAGAGTTTTTTTTTTTCTGAAATTGTAACACCATGTGTTTTATCTAGAATTAGGGGGACTGCACAAAACTCACTTCCCTGAAATACTTCTGAAATATTGATGTGCTAGGCATTACGTATATCTGCTTTGCAAGCACTTGTTAGCACAGTTATCTTTCTAGGGAGGTTGTTTATTTGACTCAATGCTTAGTATTACTTTTTCCTGCCCTCCTGACACAGGTCAGTGTTGTCTTGAAGTCTTTTGCTGTCTTTGCAGTGTCGGAAAAATTACTGAATGGAGTCTTGAAAGTTCATGCTATGGAAATTCCATTCAGGCAGAATAGTCAGAACAATACAAAATGGGGTGTGTGTGTGTTTTTTCTTCCTTTTTTTTTTGTGTGTCTGTAATCAAGGAACCATCCAGAACTCTCAAATTCACTGAAGAATTGCAGTGATCCACTAGAATTTTGAGCACTAATTCTTGGTGTCCTGTTCTGAAAGGGGTGCTAGGAGGGTCACAGATACTGAATTATTCTTAAGAGTACTGAGTTACTGTCATAACTATTTTAGCAGATAGGTCAACTTACAGCATTAGGATTGAATTTAGAATTCTGAGTAACTACTGCAACAACTTGGAGGCAAGATTCTTCAGTGTTAGATGTTCTTCTGCCTTCAGCAGGTACAAGTCAACCTCGTTGCTGTGCTAGTGGAGTAAGAGCTATGGGTGACAGTACGGACCTTGTTGTACCTGAAGGGAAGCTGAGGTGTTGGCAGCCTTTTCTTTGTGCATTTAACTTCCCAACTTTTAATACCTGACATGTCCCCCATTGCTATCAATAAAAAATTCCATTTTTTAAACAGAGATATAAATACTTCATGACTTATTTGATAATAAGTAGGCATTGCTGTTCTTTTGAGTGATACGCTGTATGAGGTCTCCTTCCTAATTCTTTTCTCAGAGTTAGTTATGGGGAATTAAATAAAGCGTTACTGTTTTCAAATGGTGGCAGTGAATATATTTTAATGACATGTGAAGTTTTCTTTGGTTATAGTTGAAATGAATCAGATATTGATGGAAAAGTTTAGACTGAAAGGGTAGTTTTGAAGAGTTACGACCAAAGAAATTTGTTAATGTTGTCTCAAAATTGATGTCTTACAGATTTCATGTATTTTGTCATTAATAGGTGAACATTATACCACTTATAGGCAAAGCAGACAGCATTTCTAAAACAGAACTGCAGCAATTCAAGAGGAAACTCATTGCTGAATTAGTTAGCAGTGGTATCCAGATATACCAGTTTCCAACTGATGATGAAGCTGTTTCTCAAATTAATACTATCATGAATGTAAGTAAGTGGAAGTAATGTCAATATTTCAGTATTAAAGCATCACTGTAACACTGATTCATGCCTGTTCTTCCGTGGCTGTGTTGAGGTTTATGGCTTTATATTTTTTGCAAGTTGGTTATTTATTTTCTCTTTCTGTAAATGACTCCCATGCTTTTGGGCTCCCCCTGACCCTAGGTTTCCCTGTCCCTTTGCTGTTGGTGCTGCTTGTTTTAGGAGGCTCCTTGTTTTCTGGTTCTGGAAAGAGGATCTTACTCATAAATACTTTCCCTTTTTCTGGATGTTTAATGTACATCTACTAACATAGATAAACTGATCTGCTCTTTTTCATAGTGAATGGTACCTTAGATGTTTTAGAGAAGGTAGTCAGGTGACTCATTTCTCCAGTTTTCTCTGTTTTTTATGTCTGCAGAACTGTTTTCTGTTTGCTTTTTCCTTTTTGTTGTTGTTACTTTCCTTCCATAGCAGGACAGATTATCTTCAGGAATCACAAAGTCAGGTGCACTCCAAGCTCTTTCACTGTTGTGCTTTCAGATCTACCTTGTCATTTTAAAATGAGCCTGTAAGCTAAAGCTGGGTGTTCTGAGCGTTCTAGCTGTACTCGCTCCTTTTGTGGTAGATTTTTTTACCCTTTGTTTATTTCTGGATTGCTTGCTTTTCGTTTGTTACGTAAGAACACTGAGAAATAAGGCTGTGTTGGTGTGACTCTTGCAGGGGCATTTACCTTTTGCTGTAGTGGGAAGTACAGAAGTGGTGAAAATTGGAAACAAAATGGTGAAAGCTCGTCAGTACCCTTGGGGCATTGTACAAGGTAAATGAATTCTCAAGTGTATAACAGTGGTGGCTAGTAACAGCCTCTATGAATGTCAGTTAATCTTATAATTAAAAAAGACCATAAAAATATGCAGGTCATCCTGAAAGTAATGTGTCATGTTTTATTTTGTTGGCTTACAATGTAAGAGGCAAATGTTGGTGGGATAGCAGTAGAGGTTGGACCTTCCTGCCAGTATTCACTTGCATTTTATTGCCATGTGATACATGGCAGCAGAGGGGCATTCTGAAACAGTGGCATCTGACATGGAAATGCTCATGAAACAAAGGGCTGTCATTGAACTCCTCCATACAGATTCATCAACACTTGCTGAACACTTCTGGATACCATAATGGTGGATGTGAGCAATGAGGTGGTGGATGCTGCATTTCAGCAATAGCAGAAGCGACATGAAAGACAAGTCGTGTTCTGAATGGCCATGCACAGCAGTTCTCCACAAGATGCAGAGCATTTCGATTAGCTCATGCATGCAGATTGGTAGATTATGACAGGGAAGTGTATATGGAACTGAGTATCAGCTTCAGTAATGGTGGCAGTACTGGAATAACACAAAGTGTGCCCCCTGTGGGTCCCATAAATGCTCAAATAGGGGCGGAAAGAACACAGTATGCGAGTTTGTTGGGACCTACTGAACCAATACTGGGCTTAAGGTGACAGTTGCCTGGGTCACATCATTACCTGTTATGAGATGTGGTGCCACTGCTATGAGCTGGAGTCAAAATAGCAATCCATAGGGTGGTGATGTGAATTCCCTATCAAATAGAAGGTTCAAGACACAGCGGGTAAAGTGATGTGCAGTGTCTTTTCTATAGGAAAGGGTTGTGCCTTTTGGATTTCCTGGAGCCTGAGCAAACCGTTGACTGATGGCTACATTGCAGTTTATGACTAAGCTGAAGCCTTGAACTTCTAGAGAAAAAGATAACCACACTCACCATGTAGTTCGGATTTGGCACCTTCTGACTTCCATCTGTTCACGCTGACAAAAGATGGATTTTGTGGGCAACATTTTCTTAGCAACTGCCATTACAGCAGCTGTGAAGCAGTGGGTCACCTCTGCTGATGTAGATTTTTACAGACATGGCACATAGGGTCTTGTTTATAAGTGGTGAAAGTGCATAGCTACTGGTGGTGTCTGTGTTGAGAAAGAGTGTTTTGGAGCTGAGGATGGGCTCTCTCAAATAGTGTTATTGTGCTCCTTGTATTTGTTGTCATTTCCATGGAAATAAATAAAAGTCGTTACTTTTGGAGTGACCTGCATATTTTTATGGTCTTTCGTAATTGTAAGATTCATTGATATTCACATGATCTGTTATTAGCCACTACTGTCATATCAATTGTATTTTGTATAAGCAGCTTAGAGAATTTAGAAATTCATATTTGAAGTCTGCAGTTCCAACATTGATGCTTTCCTGGAATCAAGCCATATGATGCTGTATGTGATATTTGGGTTGGTTGATATTATGGCAGTGCCTCTAGCATTACCAGATTGTAAGGTTTCCTGATTGTCAGAAGAGAAAAAGAGAAATTAATAGTTGCTCAATTCAAATGTGAAATCAGGACATACTGGAGCATGTTCAGTGGTACATACGGTTAGTGCTTCAATTTGTGTATTAGAAATCACAAGAAAGTGCAGGAGGTACAAGAAGTACAGATCCTTTTTCCTAGAAGTGTAGTCAGTGAACAAAATAGAAGAATCTCAATGGTATTTAAAATATATTTTGACAATTTCTGTACTTGTGTATGATGATCCCTCTTTTAACTGATTAGTGGAAAATGAGAACCACTGTGACTTTGTGAAGCTCCGTGAGATGCTTATTTGCACAAATATGGAAGATTTAATAGAGCAGACTCACACACGCCATTATGAGCTGTACAGGAGCTGCAGACTGCAGGAGATGGGCTTCAGAGACACTGACCCTGAGAACAAGCCAGTAAGGTAAGAGTCTTATTGTACATTAAGTTCTTTACAGAGAGAGTGGTGAGGTGCTGGAACAGGCTGCCCACAGAGGTTGTGGATGCCCCATCCCTGGAGATGCTCAAGGCCAGGTTGGATGGGGCCTGGGCAGCCTGGTCTAGTGTTAAATGGGGAGGTTGGTGGCCCTGCATGTGGCAGAGGGGCTGGAGATTCATGATCCTTGAGGTCCCTTCCAACCTGGGTCATTCTGTGATTCTGTGATTCTGTATACAGCACTGGCTTTCCACTTTCATTCATTGCATATTTGACTGTATCAGCACAATATCAAACAAGATTCACAGTTAGAACAGTTCTTATGAGAGAGAGAGAATGTTTATATGTTATTATTTTTTTCTAAATCAGTGTAAGTACACATCTGTTCATTCATTTATTTTCATGGAACAGTATATGAGTTTATATGAGCATGGCTTTTACAGGCATACAAGCTCTATTTCTGAAATACATCTGTTTTTTAAAAAAACTTGAGCATTTTAATTTTCACTGGGGAGAATATCCATTTTTCAGAGGTATGTACACTGTATGCCTTCTGGAATGTTCTCATTATAGAAATAGTGCTGTTTTACTTTTTCTCTAATAATGTCTGATTCAAGCAATGGTTTGGCTGCACTTAAAATTCAGCAGGAGCTGAAGCAAAAACTTGTACAAAATCATTGTTTACACTGTTTACTTCCTTCATTATCTTCTGTAATAACAAACATTTAGCCTTTTTGGGTCAAGTTATCTCTTATTATACTGTAAGAAGTTGTTCCAGAGTGGAGTAAAGCAAAGGGTTAGAGACACTCAGCTGTTCGTGCAGTAAAGCTGTTTTCTGTAGGAAGTACTTCTAATTTCTATATCCAGTTTATTTAATCTGTTATTTTCAAATCCTTCCTCTCTTTCTTCCAACTTCCTTTGGTCATTTCATATGTAGAGCTGTATTTTGTAAGTGTGCAAATTGTTATCATCCTGATGGGGAGAAGCTCATGCTTTGGGAATCTTCAGTCTTCATGATTTAGCAGAGTGCAGTTACCACATAGTCACTGTGGAAAATACCAGCTTAAACCAGGCATGAAAACAAAGTATGGATTTGCATTAAAAACAGTTTCTAATACTTGGAACCAGTTGGATTTTTAACTTGTTTCACATAGCAATTCAGAACGTATTTAAGTGTTCTGGTAGAAATAGCTTCCCTTCAGATTGTTTTTAGCAGCTTAAATTCTTTGCTTTCAGCTTTACTTTGTGCAGAAGTTCTAAAGAAGTTGCAGTTACTTTAACTCGTAGTGTTGATGGAACAGCATTTCTTTCACTGAGTCTGATTTCTATATTGTTCAAGGTGATCATTAAATAAGAAGAATGTATCAAGGAGGATGCTGGACATGGGCACTTTCTGAAACCTTAATGCCAAGGCATGCTTGAGTAGTTAATTTAGATCTTAAGCTGACCATGAATCACTGTGACATTTCTCTTGACTTAAAAAGAAAGAAATAAATCCTTTTCATACATAGAGACCAAAGGTGAATGAGGTTTAAAGCCCACTGTAATTGACCATAGACTTTTCATTGGGTTTGAGAACACACGCTAACAGCTGATACCTTATTTTCTTTGTCAAAGGAAAGCGTATAGATTTGTTCATGGGGATATTGACTGCAGTACCTTTTGCTTTCCTGAACTTGAATTTCACAATGTACAGCCATTTCAAACTAAGAATTCTTAAATTAAAAAAAAAAATGTCCACAGAACTATATTTTTTTCCACAAATACGAGAGTTGTCTTTGCAGAACCCTTAAACAGTTGACACTTTGTTAACCACGTAAAGTAGCAGGATGGTCTACTTTGACATCAGAATGTCGTAGTATTTTACATGTGTGAAGTTGATTTAGTGAAGTTATAGAAAAGATTACTTCCCTCTGGTGTGTAATTTTTATGCATGGGCCATTAAATGTCAGCTTATTAAGAGTGCTGGGGCAAGACAGCACTCTTTAAGAATTATTTTTGGCAAATCACGTCTGTTGGAAATATAACTATTTTGGAAGGATAAGAATAGTATTGCATGCAAATCCAGCAACATAAACTTTTTCCCCAGTTGACAGAGAAAGGAAGAAACAAGTGGGACCTGATCTAGGATGTTTGTCCCTTAGTTGTGTGGCATGGTGAAAGACACTGAGGTCTGAAATGGAAGGCATTTGGTCATTTGTGAGAGACATTTTATAATACCATAAAAAGGGAAGAGAATATAGCAGATCTGTATGTGACATAATTAGTAACCTCATCCATAAGGTGCTTTATGAAGCTGCTGATGAAACCATGAAGTGCGTTATGCTCAGTGTGTGATGGAAAAATGCCACTTTCCATAGAGGAAGCTCAATGGGTTTTGTTTTTCTGACTTGCAAATTTAAGTTTCTGTCACAATAGGGGCTGTTTGTCCTTCAAGATGTTTACAGTTACATGCTCAGGAATTGTAAAAGGTTTAGTTTTAGTCTACAAATAATATAAATAGCAGTATATGAGTGTTAGAATTTCATGTCTTATTTGGTGATCGGAATTCATATTGAAAAGTCACATTTTATGCCTGTGATGTAGCTGCCTACATGCTGAATTTGATAATCTGAGTTGGATTGCTTTATGAGAGCTTCAGAAAATGTTACAGCACTGATGTTTGTAGCATTTAAACATTGACACTTGAGGAGGTAACGTGCCCTGTTTTTTGGCATGAAGTACAAAAGCTAGTTGTGGAGTTCTTGTACAAGGATGTACTTGGATTTAAAAATACAGTAGTAGTTTATTCATCCAAAACTGTATGTGGGTGCAAAGCAACGTCAGTAATTCTTGGATTTTCAGGTACCTTCCGGGATGGGTTACAGTTGGACATCCATAAAGGCTTCAACTCTTCCATGTGGAAAAAAAACACAAACCATTATCGAATTTTGTTTTTTATGGGACACCTGAAGACCTTCTTTTGTGTGTGTGTGGGGGGGCTGTCCAGTCCTGCCATTTTGATGGTCTAGTTACTTCCACTAGGAAATCTTAGACTGCAAAGTTGTCAACCTCCTAGATTCAAATCATTCTCAGCAAGAGATGACTGCTGAGACACCTAGAGCAGAGAAGTTTGGGACGGTAGGAAACAGCAATTAGATATGAAGACTGCTTCCAGCCAAACAAATGTCAAAATATGAGTGTCTGGAAAGCTTAGATGTTTGCAGGGGTGGAGAGGACTATTAAATTATTGAATTTGGGTATTTTGTTAGTCCACTTTTTGATTGCAAACTGTGTTATTGCCTCAGGGAGCTCTCCTGGTTTGGAAAGAAGAAAAATGATAGGCAAGAGTCTGTTGAAAAAAGGTTGATATTTGGGCTGTTTGCTTGCATGTTCTGATTCTCTGATGTTAATTATTCTCTAGTGTAGTTGTTTTTTTGTGTTCAGAAGGTACAGTTTCTTCATCTTAAATGCTTCAGTTTCTCAGTATGTGAAGTACCTTCTCTTATTTCTCTCTAAAACTGGAGTATTCAGACCTTGCAGTGATAGAACAAAAACAGGTTTGTTTTCAGTCTGTTTTGAGGATGCAAGGAGAACAGGAAGGATTCAATCAGAAGTTCCCATGTAGAGGATCATTTGTGTGATTCAAATTGTCTTTTCTAAGGAAGGAAAACAACGTATCTAAAAGTCTATTAGACTTCCTCAGGAAGTCCCCTGGATTTGGAGTTCATCTGACCAAGTGTTGATCCTTGCATTCAAGCTAAATACTTTAACCTCTGTATGGGAAGACTGAACTCCAGCCAAAATACATGGGTTTTTTTCAAGCCTTTGTTGGGAAGATGGTAATTATTTAGATCTGCCACATCCTAAATGTTGCTTCATAGCAACGTAGTCCACTGAGTCAAGGGACTGTGCTAGTGATACCTGCTACTAGTTAACTTTTTTTTTATGATACGCTTTCACTGGTATTGAAATGTTAGATAGAAAGTTCCAGGAATATTTTTCAAACTTGAAAATCGTTTTAAGTTTTAAATGAACAAACTGCAGAACAGTTTGAGTGTCTTATCCAGAGTCAACAAAACACACAACAGTTGTGTTCCACCAAGCTATGAATTTCACTTCAGTTAGAGTCTCAGTTTACGAACAGATTGTGCCTGATTTGCATCTTTATTTTTGGACTTCCATGTTGGAAGCCTTATGCAAATAAGAAAGCTATACGTGACAGCTTTTCTCCTGTAGAAAGGTAGGTGATAAGTGTTGTTAGGAGCCATGTAATGGGTTAGTAAAGCATAGGCTTTCTTTGCAGAGTACAAGGTATAAAATTATTGAAGTCCAACCAAGAAAAATGAGAGAATGCATGATAATTTTTTAAAATTAATTTTTCATAGTTTTTAAACATGTAATTTGATTGTGTGGTAAACCCAGTGTCTGCAAGGTTAATCTATTACTGATATCAAGACTTCTCCTTTACTGATTTTATCTGATAAACTAGCTTAGATTGAGCCTGAAGATGTCCACACACTGAAATAAGATGCACCTGCAGCGTGTTAGTTTAGTCGAGTCTTTGCTTTAGCTTTTTTGCTGCACTACACCCAAAGGCAGAGTGTTTGTTAGCACAGCTGACACACAGCAAGGCTGCTGGCACTTGAGTAACCTGTGCTGTAGCTTTACTGTTACTGCATGTGCTGTCTGAACTCAAAGGTGGTGTGAAAACCATGTCCATATTTCAAGTGGCAGATACAAGGCTAAGACCTACATTGATTTAAAAAAACAAACAACAACACAAAACAACAACAACAAATCAAACCAAAGCAGAATGTTGTCCTGCTGAACTCATTTGGTTGCAAAGTATCACTCAGATATTGTTGGATAGGAAGAGAACTTTTTTACTTTGTGATCTTACAGAATTTTAAGTCTGCATGTGCAATTTCAAGATGATTATTCTGTCTCCTTAGGTTATATTTTGAATAAAAGTAAGTGACTTTAGGATTGGGAAACTATTCAGTCATCTTAAAATACAGAAGAAAGAGATTTCAGCTTCCTGTTGCTCTAAATAAATGAGTTTTTAGATGTCCTGTGTCGTCTCTCCATTTATAAATCCTTTCAGTAAAAATTGTTAAAAACTAAGAGTGAGACTTCAAACTCGGTACAAAAGTGTGTGTATAATGCATTTAATTTTAAATAAATAATATAAAGCAGTAAAGAATATAAAGCAATGTTGAGTACTTTATGTATGTTTTTAGTGTAAGAAATACATACATATAAATGTATTTTACTTCAGAGTGAAGGGCGTGAAAGACAGCAAGCAAAGTAATAGTAATTGGGGATATCTGAGAGGCTGGCTAGTCAGTTTTAAGGAAGTATTGAATGGTTTACAAGAGCAGCCCCAGGTTAAAGAAGAAATTGTTCTGATGTTTCTGCGTGTCCTTTTCCCCTGCAAGAAACTGGAGAGATCCTTTTGGTTTTATTATAACCATAATTGCAGCTCTGATCCTCCACGTTTGCTTTTGTGGAATCATGTGATTTAGAGAAGTTGTAAAAGTTTTATTGAAAGAATTTGTAGCACTAAACAGGTATGCTTTTTGAAGTTACTGTGCCCTGCTTTTTGAAGTTACCATGTTCTTTGGGATAGGAGATACAGGCGTACACAGGCTGTATTCCTTTTTTCCCAAGCAGAGCTTTGCTGGCAGAAAGTGGTGGTATATACCCTGAAAGTATCAACTATGTGATAGTATTTGTGTGAATTATCAGCATATTTTAATTTGCTATGGTACGCGTGGATACAGAGGAAATTTCTCAATTTTGAGTACCTGTTTTTCAGTGGAAAGAAAATTTTCTTGCATATTGCAATGTCTATTAGAGTGAGTTTGGAAAATGTGGAAGGAAAAACGTGGAATACCGGGAGTGCTCGAGGATGTCATCGTGAGATCTGTCTCAATTATTTTATAATGACCTTGGGACTGGAAACTGGCTCACATTCTTCCAGTTTTCAAGAAGGGCAAGAAGGAAGACCCTGGTATCTACAGACCTGTCCATCTCACTTCAGGGCCTGGCAAAATTGTGCAGAGCATTACTGTGGGAGTCATTGACAAACACCTGAAAGACAGCACAGTCACAGGTCACAGCCAACATGTCCTTACAGGGTAAAGTCCTGTTTAACAAACTTATGGCCTTTTATGACAAGGTTACCCACTCAGCTGACCGAAGGGAACCGGTTCACGTCATCATTCTGGATTTCCTCAAAGCTTTCAATATGGTTTCTCACAGTATTCTCCTGGAGAAAATGTCTGACATGCAGCTAGATGAGTAAATGACATAATGAGTGAGCAATCAGTAGTTGCATCCAGATGCACTGTGTTTGTAAAGTCCCGTGTTAAGGCTGAGGTTTCACACTGTGGAAGTTTTGAGAGGATTTTTCTCACAATTTCAGTGTCTTGGTTAATAACTAACTTCTGCCTCCAGTGCGAATAATTTGTATTTGAAAGTTACAACTAGAATGTGAGATTTCTCAAGTGCTTTATTTACTTTGAGAAGTAAAGTACTGTTAGCTTTGATATTTTTTGGTTTTGCAAGGTTATTTACTTAAAGCTAAGAAAACTCAGAAACCTGTTTCTACTGAAGTCTATGAATTACTACGTGGAGAACTATGATACTTTATATCTCAGATGCATTTGATTTGTTTAAATAACGTTCCAGATTGTTAGTTTTTCACACTGAGTTGAACAGTTTGCTGGAGACCTGCTTATGTTTTTGGACTTCAGTCTGCAGGAAGCCTATGAGGCAAAGAGGCGCAAGTTCTACCTTGAGCTGCAACGAAGAGAGGAGGAGATGAGGCAGAAGTTTGTGCAGAGAGTGAAGGAGAAAGAAGCAGTATTGAAAGAAGCAGAGCAACGAGTAAGTGTGCTGGTCTGTCGTGAGTTTGTGTGCTGAGATATGGAACAGCTCTTATCAAAATCACAACTAGTTGATCTTCTAATCAACTAGTTGATTTTCTAGTCGGTGGCAGTAATGCTTAAAATCAAAAGCAGATTGACTACAAAGATTAGCTTAGCACGTTGATTAGATGCTCAGAAATAAATGGCAAACTTTTATGGAATGAGAGAGGTTATGGTGTGCAGCATGTTTAGTTGATAGCTGGGACAAGACAGTAGGAAGGAATATGGTGATGAATATAATGGAGATGTGTTTGTTATATCAGCACAGCAGGTGCTTTTCAGGCTTAGGTTGCTGGAAGAGTAACCTGTCTGTTGGGGCCTCTAAAAGTCACATTGCAGCAATTTATGACAGTTAGCCATGGCCTAGTCACTAATGAATCATGCAATTACAGTTATTATTTTTTGTCCATTACAGTAGAATTGAGTTTTGTGGTGAGATATTAAACAGAAAAATATTGTTGTCTGAGATCCCTTCCTGCCATGTCCCATGAGTTCTTCTCACCTGCAGATTGAAGGGGCTTGTTCTTATATTACAATAGTAGTAGGTTCAGATGCATGTTTTAAGTACAAAGGAGACTTAATATACTGTATTTTCTAAACCTGTGTAGTCCCCTGTGCTAGTGGTGGAGAGTATCAGGTTCAGTCATTCTCAGTAGGAGGCTGTCCAATTGGAATATTACTTGTTTCTGTTCAAAACAGACACAGCTGAGTTTTACACATTATCTGTGATACCCTTTGATGTTTTTCCTTCTGTGCTTTATACCGTGCAGTTTCTGTGAGCTCTGCATATTGCAGTTGAATTATGGATATTTATTTTCCCAGTTCCTGATGTCAGAAAACAATAATGCAGTCACTTGCAAAGAACATTTGTCATATACCCTGCTGCTGCTCGTTCTCCTAGAAGTGTGTATGTGTATATGGAAATAAGAGAAAAACAGGAGTTTCCATTGTACTGAGGATGGCTTTTGTGTCCTTCATTTAGAGGAAACTTGTACTTACAATGTGCAGTGTTACTGCTCTGGAGTGGTACAATAGCTTTAGGACCTTATGTTTTCTACCCTGAGTTATTTTTTTTATTGCAATGCATTGGATTAACTGTAGTAATGAAATAAATGACGAATAGTATACGCAGTATAGACACATCTATAAAACCTGACAGCTCTGTTGTATAGGATAGGCATACTGATATATTTTTACAGTATTATTTTTGCTCTTTCTTTGTGCAAGATGGAAATAAATCTGACTTTTGTACCTCTATAGCTGCACTAAGATTGAGTCATACAACTTCTGTATGCTGGAACTGGTTGCCCAGAGAGGTGGTGGATGCCCCATCCTGGAGGCTTCCAAGGCGAGGCTGGATCAGCCCCAAGGCAACCTGATGGAGCTGTGCATGTCCTTATTCATTGCAGGGGACTTAGAACACATGACCTTTAAATGTCCTTCCAACTCTAAGGATTCTGTGATTCTATATTGACATAATTCAGGGGCACAAGCTTTGTGCCTCCGCAAGCACTTGAGTTCACTTGAGTCTGAAGCTGTGCATGTAGCTTCTATGTGTTTAATGTTATTGGTTGGATCAGAGAAATGACGTAGTTGAAATCCAAGAGTATTTTGGTAGGGTTATAGTTTTCAGCCAGATGAGCATCTTGATCCAGCTGGTCAGAAGGACACCAAAGCAGGGGTAGGTGGGAGGTGAGAAAGAGAGGCAGGCAGTACTCCCTGGTTACCATGCACAATTACACAAGTGTGTTTTAACAGGTCAAATACATCCAAGGCTAGAATCCATTAATACATCAAAAAAACCCTAAAGATTTTTGGATGCAGAAAAGCAGTTAACTTCTGGCAGGTGACAAGTAACTCCCCAACCTAATTGTGTGTATACACATTAATACATACATGTAATTAATGAACATATTAAAACACATACCCTATATAAAAGAAGTATACGTGGTTTCTTGCCCGCCTGGTTTAAGGAAAGTGGATTCTGCTTGACACTTTCTGATTTAATATTTTTGTTTCCTCTCTAAAGGAATCCTTGTTTTTGATCTAAGAAAGGTACATCCTGCAATAGATCTAATACTAATGTAGCATTTTCCATCATTTCAACCCTCATTTTTTGTGTGTGGTAGCCTGGCATCCATAGGAAAAATGCAATATAAATCTGATATATTCTTCTGGATTGCTGATTTTGGGGAAAGAATGCAGTTTTTTGTAGTTTTAACATTAGCTGAGGTGGTTTTTACTGGAATTGCAGTGCTTTTGTATTGTGATATCGCCACCCTGTGTTACTAGTTGGAAATGCATTTTCTGTGCTTTCAACAGATACAGGCTAAGTTTGAACATCTTATGCTAGTGCATCAAGAGGAGAAACTGAAATTAGAGAAGAAGAGAAAAGCTTTAGAGGAAGAAATCGCTCTGTTTAACATGAAGAAAGCTAATGCTGAATTACACCAAACACAGCCAATGGTCTCTACTCCTGTTAGCTTGAAGAGAGACAAGGACCGCAAAAAGTAAGTGCTGTTAGTCATCAGAGATAGCAATAGAAAAATCTTTCACTTTTGTAACACAAATTCTAGTCATCTTTTAGAGAAGACGTGAATGTGTTCCTGTTCTGTTCTGTGCTTGCAATTCTGTCATGCTTCGATCTCTGCCTCTAAAATTAACATTTAGAGTAATTGTTGTATATTCTGTGAGCATTCTTTTTATTTTTTTCCCCTGCCCCCCCTATGAAGGGACAAAGGTTTTCGACTTGAACTGCTGTGTTTTGACATCACAAAGGAAGAAGTTATGAATGGTCACAAACAGAGCAAGAGGGAGAAGTTAGAGAGGGAGAGAAATTCTGCCAGGGAATTCCAGAAATAGTATTGGCTGCAGCAGCATTCAGATTTTGAATGTAGGTTGCATCAGCTTTGTGAAGTGACCTGTCTGCTGCTGTCCCATAGTTCTAGATTTGTCTTCCTGTTACAGACTTCTCTGAGGAGTGATTAATAAAATTGGTTCTAAAAATGACACTGTCTGCAGAGTATGATCTGATGCACGCTTCGCTTGATGCTCTTTCTGTCTCCACACCAAAACAAAAGCCTGAATAATCTGTGAAATTTTAGAGATGCTTTCAGAAATAGTCTCCAGAATAAATGTGTTCATCTTCTTCATTTATAGACATTAAATAATGTAAATAGCAGATGTTGTCAGTTTATTATTCTCCGTTCCTGATAGGTTTCTGTTTCATTGTGGATGCGATTTTGTTAATATCTCATGGCACTTAAAAGCAGGTCTTTTGTACACAAGGTATGCATAACTCCTGGAGTATGAAAACCTGCAGAAGCTTTGTGGGTGCTCGTACTTCCAGAAATATCGGCAAGACAGCTTTGAAGTTTTGGGATGTATGCCAGAAGCCTGCTGCTGGTTTTTGACAAATTTTATTGCATTTCAAATAATGCCACTGAATTCTTATTCCTAGACTTCTTTTTTTTAATTATTTTTTTCTGGAAAAGGGGAACTATGGGTAACAAAAGTGGTAACCTGTACTGTTGTGATTAACTCACGAGTTCAGGAGATTTCCAGATGTTTTCTCTGGCTTAGTTTTATTTCTTCAGAATACGTTACAATTCATACGCTTGCTTTTGTTTTTCAGTTCCAGCTTTACGTAATACCAATGATGGAAGAATGATAATTTATTTTGGGGAAGCCGTGATGCACAGTATGGTTTTGGAGGTCAAGGAGTTGCAGTTTCTTACTAAAGGAATTGGACAGTCTCTCTTGGTTGCTGCAGGCTATGAGAGAGTTCTTAAGTTTGAGCAGCATGCACATGGTGTGACAATGGCAGCTGTTGTCTGTGGACTTTCTTGTATGCATCTGCCTTGATGCACCCTTGCTTCATGTACGTGTGGCCAGCTTTGATTTGTTTTATGTGCATTGTACCAAAGAAAAGATGCGTGCTATGAACTCTTCCATTCATAGTATGAATGCCTTAGTACAAAAGTATTGAGTGAATAGATCTACTCTGGCCTTTCTAAAGAGTTATTTTCATGTGACATACTAGTCTACTAAATATTACTTAATACAAGTGCTGACATAATGTAACCATTTACTTATTTTGCTGACAGTTGTTTATTTATAGGCTTTTATTTACAAGTGCTGTCCTCATTCTCAGATGCAATCCATTGAGATATTTTGCAATGCTGCACCGTTGCATGATACTTTATCTAATGTTACTTACAATTTGGAAAGTACCTACAATTTCTTGTTGTGGTGTCTGGTTACAGCAGAGGTTAAACTTTACACTGTTAGCTTCAAGAGCTTTGGGTTAAAACAACTTTCAAACTTCTTTTTTGTCTTTTGAGTAGTCATAGTAACAAATGGGAAACATTCTCCAGGAGCTGCAGTCCTCTGAAATGGTTTTGTAGGACTTTTTAAAAATGAAATACTAAGTTGACAGAAATAAAATACTTTGGTTTTGCATAAGCGTTGCTGTTGTTCTTCCTATCATTCCCATGTTACTAAAGTCAATGTGTAAAGGAAAAGCTCAAATGCTTTTGCATTTATTGATTGGAGAAAATGTATGACTGTGCATACTGTCTGAAGAACACTGTGACTCATCGGTGCCCCTGTACTTAAATCCAGAACTTTTCAGTCTTATTCAAGCAGTGCTGCATATGAAATTGCTTTCCTTGAATTCCACAGCAATGGGAAGGAATATAGATGAGGTATGTAAGCCCTTAACTGACCAGAGAAGGGTCCAGTTGTGTTTGTTTTTAGTTGGTTCCACAGCCCCAGCAGGCTGTGGCATAGGAGGGAAAGGTTAAGAGGAGACACCCATTTAGTCCACACGCTCCTCCAGCATCTAAGTGGCACTTCTTTCATGAGAAGAAAGCGGGCTGGGGCCAGGCCCTGTGGTTGTTGCCTGTTTGCTCCTTCCTGAGCAGAATTTTGCTAGATGAAATGTACTTTTTGTTTTGCCTTTGTACTATTGACTGGGCTGTCTGCTTCTGTTTGATTAGAAACAGGGGACGTGCCCTGTTTGACAGAGGTAACAGCCACGTGGAAGAAGTCTGCTTTTTTCAGCTCAGCAGTTGTGTGGACGTGTTGCCCTGTGACCTCGAGCGGAATAGTTACAACTGAGTGATGTGCACCGTCAGCTTTCGATTGTACTGTGGGTTCTTCCAGCTGCTGATGCAGACAGTTCAAGCATGGTTCTTCACATGCATTACAAAAGCAGAGATGAGCTGGCTATTGCAGGACCACTACTGGCTTGGAGGTGCAGAAGCACTTGCAGACCCCAGCTTGGACTGGGAACCGTGAGCAGTGCCATATAGGTGCCATGTCTTGGAGCTGTTTTATGCTGAGGGGTGTCTGCATGGGCCCTGCAGGGCTCAGCAGCAGAACAAAACTGGAGCAGGGCTTGGGAACAAGCAGGAGTTGCAGGGAGTTCGTTAATGGCCTGTATCTGTATCCTCTGAGAAGGCCAGTGGGTGTTTGTTTTTCTTCCTGATACTCATTCAAGCAGTGCAGAGTCATCTATAGGTACGGGTAATTCTGTAATTAAGTTAGCCTAGAGATTAGATATGAGAGGACACAAGTGCACAGCACAGTTGGACAGTCAGCTGAAGTACCAGGAATTACAAAGGAACAGCTAACTATATTTCCCAAAAATGGAGAATTAGTCAGGTAGCCCTGACTGCTAGAACAGTCAGAATAGTCAGGAGAGGCTGTGGATGCCACCTCCCTGGAAGCATTCAAGGCCAGGCTGGAGATGGGGCTTCGAGCAACCTGGGCTGGTGTGAGGTGGCCCTGCCCGTAGGAAGGAAAAAAAGAATCATTTCCATAACAGCAGTACCATTGCATCAGTACAAAAAGGAAAAGAAATGAATTGAAACCCTTTTGTGGAAGCAGCAAAACACTGTTAGGGATCGACATTTTCAAGCTTTCAAGCCGGAAAAAAGGCATCAGCACTATTTTCGCTAGGGTGCGCTCAAAGGACGTGGCTTTCATTCCTGGCAGCCGTGACTAGCAAACAAGTGCGTGATTAACTCGAGAGGGTTAAAGTGGTGATGAAAGCGTGTTATTTTGTGGCTGTTCATTATGATACGTTTATCATGACTCCCGTTTTGTGTTGCTGGAGACAAAATCCAGCATGAGCTTAGACCAGAAATGCTGAGTTCTACTCCTGTTTTTTTGCTGGATTTCCCTGAAATGTTACCAAGGGTATTTTATTTCACCTCAGTCACAGTTTAGCATTCAGAAGGACATTCAGAGGGCATTTCTTTTATTTTCTCTGGGTTTATTTTTACAGTTTTCTGACTTAAAAGCTTTCTGTTGTCCTAACACGTTTACAAATTGCTTAAAGATTGCAGCTGTTTTAATTGCTCAAACTGTCATTCCATTTGTCATCTGCACAGCTAGAAAAGCCAAAGCTGTGTCTCCTTACTGTCACACGGATTATTTAAGGGTGACTGGGAGTAGTCAGAATGGATTCACAAAGGGGAAATAATGCTTGCCTAATGTGATGGCCTTCTGCAACAGATCAGTGGAAGAAGCAAGGACTGTGGATGTTATTTCAACTTTGGGGAGCCGTTTGGTGCTGCCTTCCATAACATCTTTGCAGGTGAACTAATGAAGTGCAGATGAGTATGAAGAGTGGTCTCCAAGGTGTGAGATCCCCAGTCAACACATGGAGACCACTGCAGTGCTCAACGCTTGGTTTCAGTGCCTGCTGGCAGCTATTGCATTCCCACGTGTTGGGAGCAGGAAATCCTTTTTCTCCCATTAGCCTGCATGCTTTTGGAGGGGCTGATGCTTTCCAATAAGGGGAAATGGAGGGGCAGAGCTTTCAGCATGGCTATGATTTTACTTCCCTGCCTCCGTGGGTTGGAAATGGGGAGCTGGTCCTGACCAAGGAAGAGTTAATTCCTTGACTCAAAAGTCAGAAACAGAAGACAGTCCCATCTTTTTGGAGGAAAATCATTAGCATGTTCAGAAGGAGGGGAAAGAAGTGGCTAAGAGGGTGCCCTGCTGGTACTTTGCACACTCATTTGAGACTACATTTTTCACCGCTTCCACTTAGAGCTGTTTTCTTGAGATGGTCGCCATTTGCTTCATTTTGGAAACGCCAGGGGTGGAGAACCATTCTCCCCAGTTCTGGTAAGCACAGCGTGGCAGTGCAGCACCACACCATGGCTTGGGGAAGGGGATTTTCCAGTCACACGGCATTTGTTGCAATCATTTAGATCTTTAGATTCTGTACTCCAAAAGTTTCAACTTCTGGTGGTGTTGCAAGAGGGAATTGTAAATCTGTTTAACAGATGAAACTTCACTAGGCTGGCGAAAGACTATGTGCATAGCTCAGAAACTGGTACACACTTTAACACAGCGTTAAGGCAGTTCTGAGGAACTGGATCTGCAGTCTTTTTGGTTTGTCAGTGCGAAGGTTTTTTTGCTTTTCTGGGGAAATACGACAATCCCAGTGCATCTGGGCTGAGCTGCCTGATGAGGTGTGCAGGCAGCTGGAGAGGTGAGAAATGTTGAACCTGAGTCACAACCTTTTCCTTTAGCATTTGTTAGCCTCCCTGTCATTCTGTTAAAGACTCATTTGACTTACAAACTCTGGTGAAGAATTCTTGCTAGCTGCCATCTAGAAACACAGCAGACGAGACTGATGAACTGTGCTGAGGAACACAAAACGCAGCTGCTGTTTCATGACTGTGTTCAAAATAGATGAATGACACCAAAGCTTTGCCCCGAGGTCATATCATTTCATATTCCTAATAATTTAAAATGTGCAACTGCGTAATGCAAGTATGTAAATGTAAAAAATAATTTCACTGCCTGTCTTGATGGATGTCGAGATTGGGATGTTTGTTTTGGCTCTGAAGTTACAGAAGCTTTTTTGTATACAGCTTCTCAAGGAAAATAAAAATCTTACACAAGTTGTGGTATCTTCTGACTGCTCCTCAGTCTTCAGTCTGTTTATTTTCACAAAATATATTCAGAAGTGGGAATGTTTTATTTACATTTATAGATGGAAGAGGAGATCTGTGGTGGGTAGGGTGTAGATTTTTAAGCATAATTTTACATTTAGTTGTTTATTTGTTTATTTGCACACCCTTTATGAAAATGAGCCATGGAAATAAATCCATCATAGCTTTTAATATGCAATTACAGTCGCACAGGAAGTCTGTGATGGAATGGGTGCTTGGACCAACACCCCTTGCTGGAATGAGACAGTGGCCTGCTTGTCCCCTAGACTTCAGTATGGTTCTCAAACCTGCTCTTGTTTTGGCAGATTAATAACAGAGAGAAGCTTTTGTGTATAATGATCTACAGAAGAAGGAAAAAGATGCAATCTGACTTCTCAGTGCTTTGGGTTAGATTTGTGTGAGACTTTTCTATCTGTTAATCTGGGGATGAAATGCTTTCTGCTGTTCCTTCCCCAGTCACTTAGGTGTGAGAGGTACTTGCGTTCGTGTTTAATGTTTTGCTGTTGGAGCAACATGGTCCGTGGTGTGGATGTGAAGTGTCTGTGAATCTGTCCTCATTGGAAGAAAGCTTGCCACAGATAGGCATGCTTTCTATTCTAAATTGTCACTCCATCTTACTGTCATCTTCTGATTTTGT